GCCACTTTGCTTCCTCTCCCTGGTTTGCTGGAGACCAGGGAGACGGGCCCCATTCGTAACTGCGGATCCGACATAAGTCGGATCCGCGTAACTTGGGGACTGCCTGTAGTTTGTGTTGGAACCCAGAAGTCGCTATGTCTTGTCTCATCCAGTCTTGTATCCTGCTTCTGTCAGAGTCCAAAGCCTGATGCTTCAGGAGAAGATGAAAACACTCTCAAGTGAAGTTGTGCTGTGTTATGGGATCATTTTATGTCCAGAAGCATATTAGTTAAATATCCTTTGTAACTTTAAGACTTGGCTAGCGTAAGTACATATTCATATGGAGATCTATCTGCATTTCACTCTGCAGATTCTTTAGACTACAACTCAAATTAATTGTTTCCTGTTGTGTTCATTTTCACTCCAGTCATTATATAACTTAATTTGATGCCTCTCATACTTTGGTTCATAGATGGCCGGAGACCTACAGATAAGTCATTTAGGGTATGTCTACACTGTAGCTACCCCACGTCTACACAAGCTGCCTGTTATTTCAAAATATTTTTTGAAATAACGGGCCCGCTATTTTGCCATCCATTTTGCCTCATTGCACGAGGGATAAGGGATGGTTCGAAATAGCACATTATTTTGAAATTTGGCACTGTGTAGACATGCCAAATTTCTAAATAAGCTATAAAATAGATTCAAAATAAGATACACAATTTGCAAACCGCAAAGTGCGTATCTTATTTTGAGTTTAGGGTGCTGTGTAGACACACCCTTAGAGACCAGGCAGTGGGGAACAGGATGTTAATAAGGAGTTAAGTATCCATGAGACAATTGCCTTTACAAAGTAATCTAAAGAATGAAAAGAGCTGAGAACAGTTTTGCGTATCGAACTGACAGATTGAAGAGCAGTCAATCTGAGAGCTTGTTGGGTATGATAGTCATTCTTTGGGTTAGGGCCTGTCAGGTTAACTAGGTAATAATGGTGAATTCTTACCACTTGAGTAGCAAGTACTGACCCTTGAAGTCACCATTATTATCACTTGTAGGTGACATTATTAAACTGTAGCTCAAAGTCAGCTGTGTGCCACAGCCACCTTGAAAGCAGTAGAGTAGAAATAACAACTGCAAGGCAGCCTGAAGCTAAAACCAGAAAATAGTATGGTTCAGTACAGTCATGATAAAAGCTTGCCCTCTACTTAATCCAGTAGATTTGGTTTTGTCCTCCCTGTGTCTTTGTAGCTGGAAAGGATTATTTCAGAGAAACAAGTCTCTGAAAACACTGGAGAGAGGTGGAGAGTTGAGAAAACTAATCATAGACATTATTTAAAACATGACCCAAAACAATCTTAAGTGGGACAACGTCAGTGAGGTAATATCGTATCTTCATTGGATATTCAAGAGCCACTCTACCTTGAATGGTCCGTTGGAGTACGCGCTATTTATGGTAAACAATCAGTTTTATCTTGTGTGTAGCTGAGAAACTTAGAGTACCTTTTTCAGACCGTGTGTGGCTTGAAGGCCTCTCTCTTTCGCAGCTACAACTAGACTACATGGTCTTAAGTTTGTTGAATAACTTAATTATGTGTGCCACCTCTCCTTAGCCAGAGCTATATTAATTTAAAACATAATTTAACAAGTTGGTATTTTTGGTACTTATGCTAATGTGTTTTATACACTTATAATACATTTCCTTTGGTAATAGATGGTATCAAGCTGTATAAATGTAGTATCAGATCCCTTGTAGAAAGTCTTTTTACCTGTATTTTAAAATATTGGCTTTGGATTTAAATGGCTTGTGATACTGAGTTCCATTGGTTAATTGTATACAGTGAAAAAACAATCCATGATAAATCTGCATATCCCTTTCCCTTGAACTTGAAGACGGTGAAGGGAGCCCCTGACTTGCTTTGCTATATCATCAAAGCAGCAAGACACTTGCAAAATGGTGGGAGGGGGCATAGAGGACAATTTTCCCAGGGGCCAGTGATTTAAAAGGGCCTTGGACCCTGACCCTAGTGGCAGCCAGGAACTCTGTTGGGTACTTTTAAATCACCTGAGTAGGCTCCTTCCATCTTGTACCCTTCCTCTGAGCCTGGAGCCACAAAATCCCACTGGGCCCTGCCCCACCCCCAATCAAAGCCACAAGCCCTGAGTGCCCCCACAGGCCAGAGGAGTCTTGGGCTGGCTACCTGCACCCCTGTCCAGAGAAGTCCTGAGTGCTCCCCTCTGCCCAGAAAAACCCCAAGCACGCTACTCCCTAGCCAGAGGGCTCCAGGCCAGCTGCAGCCCTGTCTCCCCCTCCCTTCCCCACACCCAACCTGCTCTGTGGAAAAGTGTCTCTTCAAAGATGCTTTTCCTATGCCCTCTGAAAGTTCCAGGTGGCTGAGTGATAAATACCACTGGGTTGGGTCTAGGGAAGGGAAGGGGGAGGCCTGGCAGCAGCTGGCTCCAGGTAGGTGGGGCACAGGGCTGCAGCTGGCCCCAGGATCCTCCCGGCTGATAAAGGGAGGGTCTCCTCTGGGCAGGCATGGGATGGGGCTGTGACCGGCCAGGGGATCCTCTGGTCGAGAGGGGGCGCTTGTGTTTTCTCTAGGCAGAGGGGCTTGTGGCTCCAGCTGAGGAAGGGGGCTGGTGCCCATTGATTGTTCTATCCTGCGGCCTGGAATAGTTGTTGGTGGGCCTGTTTTTGTGATAGTTGGTGTAATACTATGTATTTTATGAGAAATTCTATTTAAGTCTTCTGAATAGGACTAATATTGTCAGATGATAAACAAATTATGGGTTGGATCTACTAAAACATAAAATGAACCCACCCAGATGCATGTGTGTTATGTACAGTACATTTAATGTCAAGAATATGGATGTGTATTAAATTTCACCTCAACTTCCCTGAAACAGAGGGATTCAGATCTAGTGTATTTCATAATTCTACAGTAATTATGCAGTATGTGAATTGCCTGGCCACTGGAATTCCATAGCTTGCAATGTACAGGAGGTCAGTCTAGATGATTAAGATGTTCCACAGTGGCCATAAAGTCTGTGAGTCTGTAAGTCAGCATTTATCAGTAGTTACTATTTGAAAAAAAATGTTCGTTACCGTGGAATCTCTGGAACTGATCCTACAATCCCATTAAACTTGATGGTGACACTCTTAATTGAAAAGTACAGGAGATTGGATCGGGTCTTAAGGTAAAAACAGGTTTGACCTTTATATCTGTGTATAAATAATAACTATGCATTGACTGCTGGGAAATACTGATTTAAAAAAAAATCTTAGTAGTGATTGTTGTAGCAAAATTAGCAGGGAAGAAAACTATCTAGGACAAAGGTATGATCCTCAGTTGTATAGCTGCAGTTAAAGCTTACATATCTTGTATTCTCATGAAGGGTATGTCAGTGTGACACAACATTAGCATTGTACACAGACTGCTGACCCCTAATGCTAGAAGCACTTGGAGAGAGGCTGGGGCATGATAGCATAGAACTGGGGTACATTAGAAGTCTCAAAAACAGGAGAGAAAAGAGATGAAGGAGCAAGGAGATCATGGACTGTCAAGCAAGATGCTGGCCTGGATCTGGGTTCAGTTCTCAGATGCTCAGCAGAATTCCTGTTATCACCTTGGGAAAGTCCATTTTTCTGTGCTGCACTTCCCCACCTGCACAAGGATAATAATGACGCTTTCTCCCAGCTATTGTCTTGTTTGTCTAGATTTTTAGCTCTGTGAAGAAGGGGGTGGGTGTACAAGTAGCTACCTTGTCAGCCGTTGTCTCAACCTCACTTGAAAAACCGTAGACATTTCTATGATATAAAAATAATTAATAATGAAGCACAATGTGTCAAGAGGATATGTTGCCAATTGCAGCAGG